TCACGTGCCCCGAAGCAGATCTTCCTCATCAACCTTTCCCATCTCATCACAACCCAAGCGCACCTACTTACGCTCCGATGGAAAAGGTCTACAGCGATATTTTAAACATGCCTCGAGAAGACACCGAAGCCGACTTCAACTACGTCATCACGTTCATCGACGCAGCAACCAGATACGTTTGGCAGTTCAATCTCAAAACGCGCGATCAAGCCTTCGAGGCCTTCACCACATGGCTTCCCATCGCCGAACGAGAATCAGGAACCAAGCTCAAGAGCTTCCAGTCAGACGGTGCACTGGAATACCAGTCACAACGCTTCAGGACCTATCTGGCGGAAAGAGGAATTCGACGCCTGGTGTCTCTGCCCTATGCTCACCAACAGCAGGGGGTAGCAGAACGCATGAATCAGACCTTGCAGACGACGATGCGAAAACTGCTTCTGGGGATGAGGCTGCCCACCACACTCTGGCCAGACGCGATGACACATGCAGTTCACCTGCACAACCTGTTGTCCTCGTCATCACTTCCCAACAACGCATCACCGCACCTGTTGTGGACAAGAAAAAGGGGCAGCACAAAATTACTCCGAGTTTTCGGCTGCATGGTACAGTACAGACCCCACACAGCCCGAGCAGGACGCTTCACACAACGAGCTAGGTGGGGACTACACCTCGGCATCGCAAAACATTTTCACGCGTGGAAAATTCTCGACATACAAGACAAAAATACCGTGGCATCACGTGATGTTATTTTCTACGAGCGACTGACGCTGCAGCATTACCTGGACAACATTGCCAACACACAAGACCCCACCGATGGCTTCTCGGGACTTCGTTCCTAAAGACACCGTCCGTACGACTACTCGGATACGTCGACGCCGACCACGCGGGAGATAGGGAAAATCGACGATCTAGGACGGGCTATATCTACCGACTAGAACCCATCGGAACTATCTCCTGGCAGTCGAGCAAGCAGGAGTTAATCGCACTATCCTCGGCTGAAGCAGAGTATATCGCCCTTTGTACCGCGACCAAGGAAGGACTACCTACGAGAGTTACTCGAAGAAGCGAAGATTGCGACCCTGCCCGCCTTCTCACTCCTCTGCGACAACCAATCTGCGATCAAAATCGCGAACAAGGACGGCTTCGCCAACCGAACCAAGCACATCGCCCTGCGGTACTTCTTCGTCAAGGATGAAATCGCGAAGGGGAGACTTCAACTCAGTTACTGCCCAACGACAGAAATGGCCGCAGATTATCTGACGAAGAAATTGGCGAAAGCAAAATTCGACTACTGCATGCTCCTGACCGGGCAAACAAACGTCACCGGATCTGAACACTCCAGCACTCCAGAAACGAAGGGGAGTGTTGGAAATATCTCAAAGGACTTGAGCGTTTCTGAAGTGTAACACTGTACTCGAGGAAGATTACAGGGGAGCACGCGAGTCAACGGAGGTTACACGAGGGGGCGGACAAAGAATGCGAAAAGACTCGAAAGGTCGCAACTGGAGGTTGCGACTGACCGTTACAACATCACGGATGGTAACCGAAGCGGCAATCGAGTCGCTGTGCGACTCGATAAACCGATCCTGTAACTGTATTCTACAACTGCCTTCCTATCTTCTATATATTGCTGTATGCTTGTTTCTTCAATCAATCACTTGTTCTCATATACTAGTACAAGGGTTCAACTGCCTCAACTTCCGCTGCACTACTGAAGTCTCATTCTTCAACTGGGACTTAGTCTCTGGAAAGATCCTAAGGGCTTTTCTCAGCCCAACAATCTTATACATATATTTGTATGTAGAAGTTTTAGGCTACATACCGGTAGGTTTGTGTTCTTAGAGGGTAGAACTCCAGCCCTGTATTTCCCCTGTACTCTCTTGTTTCTAGTCATTCTCGTATTCTTACACTTACGACTCCCGACGGCTGCTTGAATGGAAACACACCGTTCGTATACAAACCTATCGGACTAGAAGTGGCGCAATTGCATCACCCGCCAATGTACACCTCCCAATTCTCTTTCCGACATCTCTGTGCGGTTTTCTGTACATCGTAAACTCGTTTTGCGACTTTCTGCACCTCTGTAGGCACACGACCGTCAAAGTCACTAGACCCAAGGTTGAGCCTCTAAACCCCGCAGCTTCTTCGACCACTGGTCAGCCTCGGGTCAGACCCGAGGTGCAGAATTTACTCTAAAGAAAGTGTCATCTTGGCACCAATATTTTCTCCATATTAGGGCGTGTTCCTACATGACACAATGTCACATTACTTCATGTCAAAATTGTTCTCACAAGCAAATTTGATGAGCAGAATCCCAAATGAATTTGATGAAGCCTTACATTGTGCCACGTAGGAATAAGCCCATAGCATGGAAAAAATATTGGCATCTAAGTGTAGGTACATCAAGGAGCTCTAGGAGTCTTAGTAAAACAATCCTGCAATCCTAGTGCTTAGTTCAACAAAGCATATCGCCAGAGTATGCCCATAAGGCTCATAAACCCTCTCTAGTTATTCCTAAACCAGTCCAGTGGCCCGACTGCATCTTGTAAGCGAAGTAAGCGTCAAGCCCCGTCCTACAACTAAACTGCTATCTCTCTAATCCTTTCGTTGCAAGTCACTCACTTGGCGGGGCCCCAGGGATAGTCAGCCACGAGGAACCTTTGGCGGTACTGCCTAAAGCGCGCCAGTTGGCCCGCAGTCGGCGATGCCATCCACGGCGCCCGGGCGGGGCTGCGCCAAGCCTTGCAGGGAGGCACGGCGCCGCTGGGCGGCACGCGGCACGTCCTGCGGACGTCGAAGTTGCTGTACTGCACCACGATGGGGCCGCGCGCGAAGCTTGGCTTGAGCTTACTCCACGACGACGCGTCCCAGATGGATCCCTGGAGACGGACGCGGCGAGGGAAGAACGAGGGTTCGGGTTTAGAAAGAGCGACATTTTGTGGGAGGTGGGGAGGATTTGGGAAGGGATGGTGGTCCGCAGGGAAAACGAGCCCTAACGTCCTCAACAAAATGTGAAAAGAGGCCTAAAGCCCGGAATAGTAGAGGAAAGAAACGCGGTATACCGCATTTTGATTTTCCAGACTTTGTTTTTACCTTCAGCAAGCATGGGTCTTGCCGACTCACCATGATCTTGACGTTGTCAGAGGGGAAAGGCTTCCCGGGGGTCCTGGCAGTGATGCGGATGGGCGTGTTGTCGATCATCCACACCACGCGGTCGGGCGAGTACACGATGGTGTACGTGTGGAACGCCGCCGACGGGTCAAACGGGAAGCGGAACTGCTCCAGCTTGACCTGCCCGCCCGTGATAAGATTCGTGTGGATGGTGATGTTCCTGGGGTCCGTGCCGCCGAGGAATTCGAGGTCGATCTCGTCGTGGATGGACTGGTACGAGACGGCGCCCGGCGTGATGAGGTACAGGCACGGGATGATGCCGCCCGAGTACCCCGCGGGCAGCTTCATGCGCACCGAGTAGACGCCATAGCTGTAAATGCCCGTCGACTCGAACGCTGGGGAAGAGAGCGGAGGGGGACACGTCAACAGGAGGGTTTAGAGTCAGTCTCAAGTTTCATGCGCACGCTGTAGATGCCGTAGCTGTAAATCCCGTCGACTCGAACGCTGGGAAAGGGAGCGGAAAAAGGGGTTTTTAGAATAAGAGCAACAGGAGGGGTTGAGACGTCTCAAGCTTCATGCGCATTGAGAAGATGCCGTAGCTGTAAATGCCCGTCGACTCGAACGCTGGGGAAGAGAGCGGGAAAGGGGACCGAAGGGAATAACAGCAACAGGAGGGGTTTTGAGACGTCTTAAGCCTCAATCGCACCGAGTGGACGCCGTAGCTGTACACACCCGTCGACTCGAACGCTGTGGGAGGGGGAGGAAGGCGGCGAGGTTTGGGCGAGAGGAAGGGTCAGTTTCTTTCGCAGGCTAGCGCTGCGAGAGGTTTCTTTCGCAGCCGAGGACAACATTGGACGCAAACTGTCGTCGCGCATGCCATCGTCGCACGGCGTTGTCGCACGGCACCGTCGCGAGCTCACCTCCAACGGACTTGGCGTTGACGGCGAGGGCGACGGAGCCGTCAGCCCCGCGCGTGCAGTAGGGCGGCTTGCACCACGAGGGGAAGGCGAAGTTGCGGTTGAATGACGGGTCCCCTCCCTGCGCGCTGGCCAGCGCCGCCATGGCAGCCACAGTCACAGCGAGGATCACGGCGAAGAGACGAGGCGAGAGCGCCATGGCTGGGCGCACTACGAGGCGATGTTGCAGCAGAGTATGCGGAGCTAGTATGCGGAGTGGTAATGGGAGAAACTATTCAGCTCAGTCGCAAAAGATTTGGAGGGTCGACCCGACACTCTCGACTATATGTATGAAAATGCACGAAATTGAGTGCAAAGCGGAGCGCCTTGCGCAAGGCGCTTGACGGGCTTTGATGCTTCAACCACCCTCTCGACACGCGCACTACCGCACCAACGAGCTGGCATGGTTAGGGGGGATGGGGCGAATAGGCCCCTCTGCTCTGCGTGGCCCTTCGTTGGTCGTGGTGTTGGCTTGGTTGCTTCACTGCGTTTCGGTTGGGAAGGGCGATTCGCTGCGTTTCGGGTGGGGGCTTTGCGGCGCGACACCGCACCCATGTGTCGGTGGGTTCGTGGTTGCCGCAAATTATAAATTCTGCCCGCAGCGTGTATTGAACTCGACATTCCTTACGATAATTTACTATGAGATGGATTGGTGGGCGAAAGACCAATAAATCACTTCCTGTTAGCCCATAAGTTGAAGTAATTGCTTGGGTTGTGTTCTGGTTCGGAGTGTATTTTACGAGTGAAACTTTCCGCGAAACATATATTGCTCACAGATTTGTGCCGTGAAATGCGGCGCCCATGAGGTGCCACTCAGCGAATCGCGCAACAAATGGGCCTTTGAATTGCTCCATCGTGAGTCCATGACACACTCCCTCACATTCCCACCCACTCGAGCAATCCGCACCCCCCGGTCTAGACAGCTGAATAATACAGTAAAATCTACATTCATTACGTTCTCTTAACAAGTGATTAGCTAATACGATAAGAGGGAACTATACGCTACTATTGATACGGCATGCATCGAGATACTACTGCTGAGACAGCATGCCTATGAATGCCTTTTTAAATGGTTAGCGTTGGAATCCCGTACCGATGTGCCGTGACCCTTGTCCCCTAAACCTTGTACGCGCACCCGGCAAACTCCTACCTCCCATAGATTGCCGTGATCCAACACCTCTATGTGTGGCACTTGCAACCTTCTCCATCTCGTGTGCAGCTCTACCACTGGTCACCTCCTCCCCTTTCCCCTCATGTCCCAACACACCCCCCTTACATGCTTCTCCATCCCCACTACTGCTAGCAGCCCCCGACACACCTAAGCAGGGGCCAGAAGCATCGAGCGATGGCCCTGAATTTACACCCCACTCCAGCCCTGTCACGTCTGCTGCCTCAAACACTTCCCGCAGCTTCTGATCTTCCCTCAAAAGGAGCCCCTCAACCTCCTCCCCATGCCTCAGTGCAAACTCCAACAACTTCCTAACTTCCTCCTCCAAGCTACTCCTTCCCACACCACCCCCTCCCTCATCACCCCTCTCCCTACCACTCTCTCCTCCACCACCGGGCCTCCCCTCAGCCTGAGCCCGAACCACCATCTCAGCTAGCTCCGCAATCACCTTGTCCTTGCGCCGAACCTCGTGCCGAACCTCCCGCCACCGGTCCTTGGCAATGCCCATGAGCTGAACCAGCACCTTGTCCTTTTGCTCCAGCCGCCGCTCCAGGCTCTGCCACCTGGGCCCCCTGCCGGGCCTGGGAGCAGCAGCCTGCAGCTGTCTCTGCAGCAGAACCGTTCGAGATATCACCACCTGCTGCTGCTGCTGCTGCTCGAGCCTTCTCCTCTGGTCGTCTACCCTACGCCCGACCATACCTCTGCTACTGCCTGTTCCTCCTCCTGATGATGTGCCTGCACCCTCACCAGCAGCCCCACTAGCAACCCCACTACCAGCAGCACCAGCACCAGCAGCAGCAGCCCAGCGCTCCTCCTGCTCCCTTAATCTCTCCTCCAACCGTGCCACCTCCTCCGCTCGCCGCTCTGACTCACCGCGCAGCGCCGCCACCTCATCGTCCAGCCTGGCGACGGCTGCGTCGCGCGCCGCCAGCTGGCGCTCGAGCCCCTCAATGCGCTCCTTGGCATCGCCCGCCATGGCTAGGAGCTGCTGCTTGGCCGAGTCAACGTCCCGAACCACCAGGGAGGATGGAGACGTGGCGAAGGATGAGGGGAGGTTGGTCAGGGAGGAGGTGGGTGCAGCGAGGGAGGAGGGGTGAGCAGCAAGGGAGGAGGGAGGGGAGGAGGAGTTGACGTGGGAGTCTGAGAGAGGCGACGGGAGGGAGAGACGGGGGGTTGAGGAGGATAGTGGGGCGTTGGTGGAAGCACAGGCGGGGCCTAGTGAGAGAGAGAGGGAGGTGGGGCCGGAGACGGAGGGAGAGGAGGAGGAGCGAGTGGGGTGGGAGGAGCCTGAGGGGGAGGAGGAGGAGGTCATGGCCATGTCCAGTGCGCCGCCAAACAGGCCGAGGCTGAAAGTTATGGGGCTGTTGGGATTCATGCGCGACGGGAAGATAGAGGGGGGAGGGGAGGCTGGGGCGCCACCCGCAGCAGCAGCAGCAGGAGAATCAGCAGAGCCCGCATCCCTGTGTGTGGAGGGATGGGGGCGGTCGGGGAGAGTGTCTGGTGAGCAGCTTTTCTTGTCCCTGGGAGGTCCGTACGAGGAGGATGCTGATGTGGCAGAAGGACTGGGCGATGAGGAGAGGGGACCAGGGGAGGCGAAGGAAGCGGCAGCGGCAGCAGCAGCGGCGGCGGCGGCGGCAGCCGTGGCAGCGTGAGAAGTAGGGGATGCAGGCTTCTGCGAGTCTCTTGTTGCAGGTGCTGCTGCAGGGGGAGTGGCAGGGGTAGTGGCAGGGGAACTTCCTGCGCTGGTGATGCTGCTGCTGCTTCCACTGTTGCTCCCCGACACACTCTTGTTCCGCCCCATCCCAAACGAGCCAAAGAGCGACAAAAACCCAAGCCCTTGACTAATTTCTCCTCCTCCTCCACCTCCTCCCCTGCCCTGCACTGTGCTCGGCTCTCTGCCCTGTTCTGTGCTCTGCTCCTTCCCCTGCTCTTCAATCACCTCTTCACCCATCGCCTCCATTGTTACGCCCTGCTCTTGCTCTCCCTCTCTTGTCACCAGTCCTGCTTCCCCTGACTCCGTCATTGTCTCCGCCTCCTCCTCCTCCTCCTCCTCCTCCTCCGTCTCCTCCCCTTCCCTATCCCCCTCCGGAATCACAGGCAGAGCCCCAACGGTAACCTCTGGATCCTCCTTCTCCTCCTCCTCTCCACGCCGCTTCTTCACGAGCCCCTCAGCAGCCACGCGCAGCAGATGCGCCTTCGCCTCTTCCAACCCCATCGGCCTCTCACTCTCACTCTCGTCCTGCTCTTCCCCCTCCCCGCCCCCCCCTCTCTCCCCTCCTCTGCTGCCCTTCCTGGCCGAAATGCCTCCGGCAACCTTTCTCTTCGCCCCTGCATCAGTGGCGGTGCCTTCAAGCGAGAGCCCCGAGAGCAGCCCTTCCCTGCTCCCTCCTCCCCCACCCCCACCACCTCCCGTTCCTCCCGTCTTCCTCCTCTGCTCCTCCTGCTCCTCCTCCTCCTCTCTCTGTCTCTCCAGCAACTCATTAAACCGCTCCTCCCTCTGCTTCCTCTCCCTCAGCTTCTGCTGCTCCTCCCTCCGCCTCTCCCGCTCCTCCTGAGCCTGCTTCTCCTTCGCCTTCTGCTGCTGCTCCTCCGCCTGCCGCTGCTTCACGCGTGCCAGCATCAGCTCTAGCCCCTTCAGCTCCTTCTGCAGCTTCCCCACTGGAACGTCCTTCTTCTCCGCCTCGCCCTTGCCGTCTCCTCCCCCCTCTCCCTTACCTTCTCCTCCCCCCTCCCCTTTGCCTTCTCCCTCTCCCTCTCCTGCCCCAGTTACTTGCTTTCCATCCCCGTCAATCTCCCCTTCACCGTTCTCACTCGCACTCTCACCGCTCCTCAGCTTCTCGGACTCCTCTGCACCGCTCTTCACCGAATCTTCTCCTGCACTTGTGCTCGTTGCTTTCTCATCAGGTTTGCCCGCACCCTGTTCTCCTGAATCCCCCACAACGCCCTGACCTAAGCCCTTCCCCTCCCTCTCTCGATGTGTTGAGCCTGCAGCAGCTGCTGCCCCATCTCCTGCTGTCGTTGCTCTCCCTGCTGATTCACCACCACCACCAGCGATGCCAGCAGCAGCACCACCAGCAGCAGCAATAGCTGAAGCAGCAGTACCGACAGCTGCAGTGGCAGCAGCAGCACCACTACCACCATCACCACCTCCAGCAGCAGCAGCAGCAGCAGCGGCCTCTCTCTTCCGCCGTTCCCTCTCCCTGGAAGCAGCAGTCAGCTCTGCTAGGGCTCGCTGCAGGTGAACCATGCGGTGCACGCCCCCTCCCGCCCCCCCATCCGTCCCCCCATTACCCCCATCCCCCTGCTCCTCCTCCTCTTCACTACTCTCGTAGTCATCGTCATCATCCCCCCAGCTTATCTCCCTCTCCATTGGCGACTCCTCCTCACTCTCTCCCTCCCACTCTCCATCCCCACTTCCCCCCTCCCCCTCCTCCTCCTCTCCGCCCTCCCCCCCGTTCCCCAGGTCCGCATCCCCACGCTCCGCGCCTCCCCCACGCGCCTGTCCGCGCGCCCTCAGCGCAGCAGCTTGCGCCAGCAGCTCATCCACCCTCGAGCGCATCTCCCTTCTCCCCTCATCCCCCTTATTCGCATCTCCGCTACCAGCATCCGCCCCTGCGTCAGCCGTCCCATTCTCACGGGGCCCATCGCCAGTCTGCCTCTCCCGCCCATCTCCATTCTCTGGATGCTCCCCTTCCAAGGGCGGCAAAGGCTCAGAGGGCGGCGTCGGCACAGAGGGCGGCAGAGGTTCAGAGGGCAGCAGAGGTTCAGAGGGCGGCAGAGGTTCAAAGGGCGGCAGAGGTTCAGAGGGCGGCAGAGGTTCAGAGGGCGGCAGAGGCACAGCAGCACCTGCCTCTCCTTCCGCTGCCTTCCCAGCTATCTTCCCGTCCACGCCAGTGCTTCCTTCCCTCTCAGCTCCTCTTTCGCCCCCTCCCCCTTCGCCACCTCCTTCCGCCTCCCCTTGTGCCTCGCCCCTCCCATCGGTTCCCCCTCCTGCATCCACCCCTCCCTCTCCACCCCCCTCTTTCTCCCCAACCATCACCACCACGCTTTCCAACCCCTCAGTGCCCTTGCCATCTCCCTCCTCTTGAGGCGCCTCAACGCCCTTGCTCTGTTTCTCCCCCTGAGGCGACTCCGAGACTTCAACCTGCGCCTGCGTCCCTTCCTCTGTGCGCAAGCCCACTTCCCTTTCTCCACTCTCCACCGGCGCTTGCCCATGTTGCAGTCCACTCTGCTCCCCACCCGCTGGCACGCGCTCCTCCTGCTGCCTCTCGCCTCCTCTAAGTTTCTCACTCTCCGCTGGCGCTTCCCGATTCTGCTGCTCCCCCTGAGGCGTCTCCGAAACGTGGCCGTTCCGCTGCTCCCCACCCTGCGGCGCACGCACCTCCCGCTGCCTCTCGTCCTCTTCGGATTTCTCACTCTCTGCCGGCGCTTGCCCAACTTGGTGCGTCCCAACTTCCGACACACGCGCGCTTTGAGACGCCTCACTGTCCCTCTCTCCCTCCGTCCCGTTCTCCCCCACCCCGTTCTCGGTCCGAGATTCCTCCGTGTGCATGTCTGCGCCACCTTTCGCCGTGTCGCTGACGGGTTGGGCCGCCAGATCAGGCTCTGGGCCCTCAGTCGACCGAGGCCCGTTCTCGCCACTCGCGGGGAGGGAATTAGTCATATCAGTTACTGAATTCATATCAGTCATCTTAGTCGTATTAGTAGACGCAAGAGTAACAACTGGCTCAGGTTTAACGCCTGCCGGCAGAGCTGCATCGAGTCCGACCGTGCCGGATTTTGCAGGACTTTGGTCAGCCGCACTGCCCTTGATTGCATCGTCGCTGCCATTTTTCTCGGGAGCCACGCGGGACTGCGAGGGCGAAAGGACGAAGAAAGTCCCCCATCCAGGTCCTCCGCTGCTCATGCCTGAACCGCGACACTAACGAACTGAGGTTACAAGGTACCGCTTTTCGAAAGCGTGCTAAGTATTACTATCGACTAACGATAACGAGCGGACCATTGGCGAAACTCTAATCCGCTACCTGACTCACCATGCGGTCTGCGTCAGCTAAAGCGCAGGGTAGTCGGAAGTCGCATTGAGCTGAAATACCTAGGTAAGGACCAGCAACATTCGAGGAACTGCGGCCTACTGACAGGATTCTGGAATAATTGTGAGAGTTGTGGATGATGGGGAAGGGGTTCCGCTGGTGGAATATGGTGGTTGTGGCTTCACCTTGGGAACGCGGGCGGTTTGGGTTTGGGAAAGGTTTCACAGAAGAGATTCTCCTACGTTCGTACCCTTCCGTTGGGTAGATCCCAGCTCACCCCTCCATGCATACGGAGTTAGATGTTCGTCAAATAAACGCTGGTGTTGGAAACGGGGCAGAGGTGGGTTTGCGGGATGAGTCAAAACGTAGGGACTTGGTGTGAAACAGCTCTTGGGTAGTTTCGAAGTCCTGCTGCACCTGGCGGACAATCTGAAACTGCAAATCATCACAAAGGCATTTATCGCACCAATGAAATTCGAGAATTTCCGGCGGGAACATCCGTTGGCAGCCGTTGGAACAGAAACTTTGGGATAAGTTCGTTACATTAATTTAGGGAGGTTAATAGCAGCAAGACCACCACACTTTCACAATCGGTGTACCTTGTGGCGAGGAGTTTCTGGAGATCAATTCGTTTTGGCGCAAACATCAAGGCGCAGGTCAGCTGCCCCAGATGCCAAAGCAAGATCGTTCGTTGCAATAGATCCACAGGTATTTCCCAGACACCAAACCTGCCCGAGAGCTGGACCCTCATGCTCATTCGCCAACACGTCAGGAATCTGTTCAATTCTGGTCTGGGCAGAATTTCCCAAGGCGTCGCGGTGGTCTATGCAAGGTGTGCCTCCACCCGCCGACGTTTTCGCTTTTCTCAGAGTTTGGGCAGGGGCTTTCCGCCCACGACAGGGCATCTCCCCCTTTTTCGTGGACCGCCAGCAAAGCAATCCCGAGCCAAGCCCAAGCGCGCGCCAGCTCGTTGACATTTCACCAACCTCGGTGTCGTCGAAAGGAGGACACAGACGCCGAGGCACTCAATAACGCGGATTCCTGGCACAGGGAATTCATCCATGTCATCCATTTCTGCCATTCTGCTCATCGTCCCTCCCAGATCTCAGTTTCCCTTCCATCTCCCACCTTCAGCGGTAGGTGACGGATCTAGGATCCACCTCTCTCAATCGTGTAGTATTCCCCGGCATCTTCTGCAGCCCTCTAGTATACTTGCTACCGCAGGCTGTATCTACCGCTAGAGAATGGCTTCAGGAGAAGATATCCCGGCGGTTGCGGAAGACAACTCTCAGATCGACGCAACCGAAGCTCCAGACGCCGGAAATTCATCCACTGACATTGCCGATTCAGCTGCCCTGGAATCCGCCAACACGGGCGACGACCTATCGAACGCATCGGGATTCGAACCCGCGATCGGTCCCGATGGAGCCGATTCCGGCTTTGCCCCAGCGGACGTTCCGGAGCTCGCGGCGGTCCCGGAGATGGGGGCGGAGCCGGTAAAGACACATCGCGAGTTTTATTTCATCAGAATTCCGCGCCCGGACCTGTCGGCGGAGATCGGCAAGATCAAGGCGGTGGAGCAGCGCGTGAAGGAGAAGCGCGACAAGCAGCAGGCCGTTAGCGCCGCCCTCCGCGCCAAGAAGGTACCGCGGCAAGAAGTCTGCTTCGCTTGGTTCACTTGAATCCTGCTGAGCAGGATTAATTCCTCATTCATTTCCTTTCATGCGATGCTCCCCTGATGATTCCTTTCTTGCCTTTTCTCCTGATCTTACCTTCCATTCCTCGCCGCCGCAGGCGCAATGGTCGGAGGCCTTCGAGGCGCTCAAGGCGGCGCGGGCGCGCGCGCGCGGGTGTTCGCAGGACGTGCGGAGCAAGTTCGACGAGGCGAAGCCGCTGCAGGGCGTGCTGCGCAAGATGAACGAGAGCAAGGCCACCGCGCGCGACCGCGGCCGCGGACTCGAGTGCACCTCGGAGGCGCAGCTGAACGCGCTGGTGAGATGATCAGCATCCGATCTTGCCGTGCCTGAAGGATTCTATCATGCAGCTCATGCATGAGATGGACTTGGATTAGGCTCCGTGAATCGATCAGGCCACCCATCCATGAACTGATTGCGTCAGATGGCGTCAGATGGCGTCAGATTCCGTCAGATTGCGTCAGACTGCGTCCATGAAAGAGAACGAATTTGTAGCACATCGTCTCGCCGACGTCATTGGATGATGCCACTCGAGCAACGCTGTCACTTTCGTCTCCTCTTTCCCCGCTGCGGCGCTTGGGTCAAACCCCCCGCTATCCCTGTCTCTCCCTTGTTTCTCCCCCTTTCTCTCCCCCCCCCCCCCGAATCCCCACCCGTCCCGCCCCCCAGATCGCGGCGACGGAGCACCGCATGCAGCACGAGACGATATTGCCGAAGGAAGGGAAGCAGCTGATGAAGGAGCTCAAGGACCTCGAGGCGTCGCTTGAGTCAAACCCCCCTCTATCCCTGTCTCCCGCTCACTTCTCCCCCATCTCCCGCCCTTTTTCTCCACCCCCCCCCTCCCTCCCCCCCTCTCCCCCATGTCCCCTCTATCCTCCGCCCCCCTCCCCACCACCCAACTCAACTGCAGATCGCGGCGACGGAGCACCGCATGCAGCACGAGACGATCTCGCTCAAGGAGGAGAAGCAGCTGATGAAGGAGCTCAAGGAGCTCGAGGCGTCGCGCCCCAAGGTCAAGGAGATGGAGGCGCTGACCGCGTCGTTCGCGGAGAGCCAGGGGCAGCGCGACTCCATCCAGGAGCGCCTCAAGGTAATCATTATGCTGCAGTGCACCTTTCGCCTCCGTTTCTGGCCAGTCCCCAGCATGCGCTATGGGTGCTGAGCTGATCGCATCTGGTCGTCACCTCTCCCCTCCGCTCCTGGCCATCCCCCCCCTTCCCCCTTCCGCTCTTATTCTCTCCCCCATCCCCCTTCCTTCCCCCATTCCCGCCCTTCCCCCCAACCTCCCCCTTCCCCCCCACCCCCCCTCCTCCGCCTCGTCGCCTCACGGCGGAGGTCGTCGTGTTGAAGCTCGAGCGCAACACAACAGTGTTGTAATCTCCTATCTTTCTCCTCTCCTCACTCCCTCCCCCCAACCAAATCCCCCCAACCCCGCCCACCGCCCCCCCTTTCCCCCGCCAGCCCATCATGGCGGAGGTGGACGTGCTGAAGCTGGAGCGCGACGCGGCGCAGAAGATCTGCGAGACGCTCGAGGCGGAGGCGGCGGCGCTGGACGCGGAGGTGCAGGCGCTGTTCGGGGAGCGCGCCAAGGCGCAGCTGGACGCTGATAAGGTTTACGACGAGCTGAGGGCTGCCCGCGCCGCCACAAACAAGAAGGTGCGTGCTTTCCTTTTTCCCCCTTGCTCTTATCACCTCGTCTCATGTCATTACCTCTCAAATCGGACCACCGTTTAGGAGTTCTCTCCCTTTCCCCCGGTCTCCCCCTCTCCCGTTCCGCCTCCCTTCCCATCGCTCCCGCTCCCCCTCCCTCGCAGGACGAGGATTTCCGCCAGTACCGCGCGGACCTGCCGACGATTCAGGAGCTGGCGGCGAAGAAACTCACCCCTCCCCGCTCTTCCCTTTCCCCGCTCCGCCCTCCCCCCCCCCCGCCCTTGGCATTTCAGGACGAGGATTTCCGCCAGTACCGCGCGGACCTGGCGACGATCCAGGAGCTGGCGGCGAAGAAGGACGTGGCGGCGCTGGAGGCGTTCTGCGAGCAGCAGAGGGAGCGCACGCACGCTCGCCTCAACACCGACAGCGCGTACCGCACTGCGTACGTCGAGGCGAACCGCTACAGCACCATCCGCCGCTTCCGCTCGCTCGACACGCGCAGGCTCGGCGTGGACGAGGACCCCGCGAACCAGCTCGACGTGCCGTCCCGAACCTACGCGCCAGCCTCGGCGCCCGCAGCTTCGGCGGCCGCTGCTGGGGAGGCGAGGGTGGGGAGTGGGGCGGAGAAGAAGGGGAAGGGGGGAGGGGAGAAGGAGAGTGGGAAGCCGAGTGGGGGGGAGAAGGGGGCAGGGGGGAAGGGGAAGGGGGAGGCGGGGGCGGGGGCAGGGAAGGGGGACGGGGGGCAGGGGCAGCAGCTGCTGGGGAGGTTGGGGAAGGGGAATGGGGGGGAGAGAAGGGGGAGGGGAAGGCGGGTAAGGAGAACGGAGTAGTGGTTAAGGCACCGGAGGTGCAAGTGGAGGAGGTGGACGAGGAGGCGGAGAGGGAGAGGCGGCGGGAGGAGGCGATGAGGAAGGCCAAGGAGGCGGAGGTCAGAAAGGCGAAGCTGGCCGAGAAGGCGCAGAAGAGAGCTGAGGCGCGCGCCGCCAAGGAGGCAGAGGCGCTCGCCAAGAGACGCGAGAAGGTGAGGGGATTGTGTGGGGAAGGGAGACGTGAGGCGACTGTGAGGAGAAGGGAGAAGGTGAGTTGTAAGAGGGTTATTAGAAGGGGCAGAAGAGAGCTGGGGCGCGGGGTGCCAAGGAGGCTGAGGCCGTTGCAAAGAGACGGGAGAAGGTGAGTCCGGGGGTGCGACGGACAGACTTGATAGAACCAAAGAGTCTGATGTTTTGAGTGCAGAACTGCATCCTCACCTTCCGCCTGTTGAGTCCAGAACTGCATCCTCATCTTTCACCATCGTGACTTCGTTGATACCACCCACTCCTACGAGACACACCACTTACTTCCTCTATCTCGTCTCTGCATGTTCGCGCGTTCTCCCTCCACCCTCTCCCCCCCTCCCCAGTCTCCCTCCTCTCCTGTCTCCCTCTACCTTGCATTGATCCCCCACCCCTTCTTATTTTCTCTCCACTCTACCCCATGTCTCCCATCCCCGCAGGAGCGGGAGAAGCGTGCACGCAAGAAGGCAGCAGCAGCGGGGGTGCCATACGTTGAAGGGGCAGCAGAGGCACCAGCAGAAGGGGACGCCCCTGACGACGCCAACACCGGCGACGAGGCCTCAGCTGCAGAGGAATCCAGCGCTGCTGCTGCTGCCGCTGATGGCACGGCGTGGGAGAAGGAGGCGGGTCTGTCGAGGCGGGAGCAGCGCAGGCGACAGGCGCTGGTGGCGCTGAGGAAGAAGAAGAGCGGATGGCTCAGTGGGAACGTGCTGTGGGCCGTGGGGGGGCTGGCTGCTGTTATCCTCGTTATAGTCATCGCTTACTTTGTGGTGAGTCTATGAGACCTGTCGGTTGACTCAGAGGTGAAGGGAGCAGCGGGGTTGAGTCCAGCAGGGGGGGTGAGTCTAGCAGGGGGGGTGACTCCAGCAGGGGGGGTGACTCCAGCAGGGGGGGTGACTCCAGCAGGGGGGGTGAGTCTAGCAGGGGGGGTGAGTCCAGCAGGGAGGTGAGTCTAGCAGGGAGGGTGAGTCCAGCAGGGAGGGTGAGTCCAGCAGGGAGGGTGAGTCCAGCAAGGGGGGGTGAATCCAGCAGCGGGGTAGAGTCCAGGTGACTAACGGGTGTGTGAGTCCAGGTGACGCGTGGGTCACTAGGTGCAGCGCAGGCGGCAGGTGCTGGTGTGCGAGGAAGAAGAAAAGCGGATGGTTCAGTGGGTCTGCCCTCTGGGGCTGTGGGTTGGCTGGCGGCTGTTATCCTCGTTATAGTCATCCCTCTGTTTGCAGCCCACTTGCTCTTGTCCCTCTTCCCTTCACCCTTGCAGCGAATTCAAACCTCTTCCCCGTTATCCCTCTCCCACCTCCCCTCACCGCCCCTTCCTGCCTCTCGCCCAAGCAGCAGCAGGCACTGTACCCGGCACAGCCCATCTTCGAGGCCGAGAGCTAGGCTCAGAGAACTCAACACAGAGAACTAGATACTGCTCAATGCAGCAGATGCTGCAGCTGTTGCTCTGCCGTAAGTGCTTACCACATGTATCCACTTGCAAAACAGCCACAATGGTTGTCCTGTTGCTCTTCCATGGCTGGAGCTGCACCCTATGCACCACCCAGGGCCCTTTCCAGACAGCAGGATGGCTATTCTGGGGGTAACATGTGGAATGCTATGCTGGGCTGGAAGGATCAGTCTAGAAGTATTTTGTTTGGACTGCTGGCTTCCTCATTGCTTTGCTATCCTAGCATATTTCGTGGCGGACTATTCCGGTTGGCGATATCGTACAGCCTGTCAAGAATAGGGCGAGCAACCCTGCGAACAACACTATTGTACAGTAGTATGCCTGGCCATTTTGTGGAATGCAGCACCACAGCTTGGGGTGTATTCCTATGCACCAGGATCAGGATCAAACTTGCGCATAACCATTTTTAACTGTTCTGAGACAAGATTCCAACACTTTACCTCACGAACAATACCACGCCTTCTGATCCTGATCCAGGTTTATAGGAATGCGCCTATAGGCAGCCTATTTTTATGCAACGTCTTTTGGGCAGACTAGCTTCACCAGTTGATTGACCGTACCAGAGCTGTGACAGAAGACGGGGCATGCTGTATATGTGGGCCTTTTGGGAGTCACTAGGTATAATTGCATTGCATAGCTTACGAAATGTTAAAACCTACTGTTGTACAGAAACCGAACAGCTACACTACGGCAAAGCATTTTAACTGTACAAACAGTGCCATCACCTCCACACGCTGACCAGAATCATCCAGCGGGCCTCAGCCCAATAAGCCGAAAAGCTCACTGCTCTGCCGTTGGATCTAAATTCGAGCATGCCACATGACATGAGCCATCACTCTGATTGGTTGTCTGTCAGGAGCTTCGGAGTTCTCGATGGGCGGCTTGCGCGCGAACTCCCCAAAAACTCGCGCAGGTGCAGCGGTGCAGAACACTGGCACACCGTAACTTTACTCGTTAAGGTTACTCCAAGATTTCGCAAGGCGTTCCTCTGGTGGCGAACAGATAACTCTCCTCGCTAGCACCTTGGCTCCCGCCACAACGGAACATTTTTGCGCTCCGCTCCCCCTCTTGAGCCGAATCCGTCAGCAGAATTTGTCGGCAAGAAGCGGGGAGGCACTCCACTACATTCACTCCATCTGCTCCATCCACTCCATCCTCTCCATCCACTCCATCCCCTCCCCTTCCTCTCATCCTGTCACCTCACAATCCACAACTGCTTACTCTCTCTCCCTACAGCAGCTTTCCCAAATCCCTCGAGCTTTCCTGGAACGGTTTCTCCAACACAACAATTTCTTGTCTTTGATTCCTCAGTTTCGCTAGCTTCCGGTCACCGTAGTCGCCATCCATCAATGGCCGTCATATCCATACTATGCTAGGAGTTAGAGTGCTGCAAGCTATGCAGCCATACTTCTTTCGTAGTTTTCCAAGCTACGGATGACGTGTCTTCTACTAGGGAAACTAGGCTAGAGTAGTGTGTTTTCCAGGCTATGGCCGTCGTAACTTCAAGCCGTGATAGTTCCTGAAGCTATCACAGTATTCTCCTAGCTCATTCAGCTCGAGGAACCGTCTTTTAGTTTTTACATCTCGGATAAACTCTGCTACGTTAGATCGGACGACATCTGGATCTTCAAGAATTTTCCTGTTTCCGTTAGCACGGAAGCCGTGATGTCCAGCGCCGCCAAGCTGTCGTCGCGTCTTCTGCAGAGGAGCTTCAGAGATGGCGCTTAAGGGACGGCGAGATTGAAGGTTCAGCGACAGCGAAATGGAGACTTCGTGACGGCGTGATTGGAGTTTAGATAGCGGCGACGTCGCCGGAGCTCGTAGCTACGGCGGGAACCTCCTCAAAGACGGCGACAAGCAACCTGACGACGTCGACAAGCAACCTGACGGCGGCGACAAGCAACCTGACGACGTCCACAAGCAACCTGACGACGGCGACAAGCAACCTGACGACGGCGACAAGCAACCTGACGACGCCGACAATCAACCAGACGGCGCCGACAAGTAACCTGACGACGTCGACAAGCAACCTGACGACGGCGACAATCAACCTGACGATGGCGACACGCAACCTGACGACATCGACAAGCAACCTGACGGCAGTGACAAGCAACCTGACAACGGCGACAAGCAACCAGACGGCGGCGACAAGCAACCTGACGGCGTCGACAAGCAACCTGGCGACGAGCAACCTGAAGACGGTGACAATGAAATCGAAGCTCCAGCGACGGCGATATCTGACCTTTCGCCGATGGGGACACGAGGATCCAGGGTTGCGATATCGGAGCTTCGACGTCGAAATCAGAGCTCCGGGGACGGTGAAAGCGGAAATCGGAGCTCCTGGTGCTGGCAGTGATGCCGTTGCTGCGGCTAACCCTGCTGCCGATCCTGCTGCCGACAGTGCTGCCGATTTTTCTGCTGACGGTACAGCAGAACCTGCTGCCGACCCTACTGCTGACGGTGTTGCCGAGCCTGCAACTGGCGGTGCTGGCGAACCTGCTGCTGACGACGTTGCTGCTGATCCTGCTGTCGATGATGCTGGCGTTTCTACTGCTGATGGTGGTGCCGCCGCTGCTGGAAACGTGTCCTGCTACTGCTGACGGTGGTGGTGGCGCTGCTGCTGCATCCGCTCGGACAACCTACCCAAACAGCTAAGTGCTCTCACCCCTGTGCTTTTCTCGTGCTCGTTGCTGTTTTTCTTGTACCGCCGAATTAGAAATTATGGCCCTAGGCACTGCTGCGTTGGGGGCTGACAGGTGGATGGGCGGCTGGAGTAAATTGGTGAAAGTGAGGGCGTGGGGCTCGTGGCACTTGGTGGTCGGTCGCTTGCATGGTCTAGTCGGGTTGTACACCTCAGCATGCATTCATTCCCATGCGCGCGTCCCTCTCTCTCCTCTTGAACCTCCTCTTTCTCGTCTCAGTCCCCCTCGCATGGCAGCCAGGTGCCGTGGGTTTGCCTGTGCCTCACACTCCTTGCCCCTTGAATCCTGGAAAGCCTACCTGTTGTAGTGGTGCCATGGGTCGTAGGAGCTTATTCGTTTCCCTCGTTTGTGATTTCCAATTGTTTGCTTGCTGCTTGTCAATTGCTGTGGGTAGCGCCTCTGCTTGACACTAACAGTCTTTTTGAACCTGTGCCTACCCCATATCTCTGCAGGAAACGGTTTCAGCTGCAGCAGCGGCACTTCAGTCAGCTGGATGTGGGATGACGCACGGCAGAGGCGGTCACAGTGATGGGACTGCCTTGTGATTGCCCTGCTGACCACTGCACCTGTTGCTGACGTTGCTGTCGATGGTGCTGCCGAACCTGATGCTGATGGTGCTGCCAAATCCGCTGCTGATGGTGCTGCCGATTCTGCTGCCGATCCTGCTGCCGACCCTGCTGCCAACGGTACTGCCAAGCCTGCTGCTGATGGTGCGGCCGAACCTGTTGCCGATGGTGCTGCCGAACGTGCTACTGGCGGTGCTGCCGACCCTGCTGCTGATGGTGCTGCTGAACCTGCTGCTGTCGGTGCTGCCTAATCGGCTGCAGACCCTGTTGCCGATGGTGCTGCCGACCCTGTTGCTGACCGTGCTGCCGAACCGGTTGCTGATGGTGCTGCCAAACCTGCTACTGGCATTGCTGCCGACCCTGAGGCTGACAGTGCTGCCGAACCTGCTACTGGTGGTGCTGCCAATTCTGCTGCTGATGGTGCTGCCGAACCTGCTGCCGACGTTGCTGCCGAGCCTGCTGCTGACGGTGCTGCCAATTCTGCTGCCGACTGTGCTGCCAATGGTGCTGCCGACCCTGCAGCTGAACCTGCTGCCGAACCTGCTGCCGAACCTGCTGCCGAACCTGCTGCCGAATCTGCTGCCGAGCCTGCTGCTGATGGTGCTGCCGAACCTGCTACTGGCGGTGCTGCCGACCTGCTGCCGAACCTGCTGGTGGTGGTGTTGCCGAACCTGCTGGCGATGGTGCTGCCGAACCTGCTGCCGGCGGTGCTGACGAACCTGTCGCTGACAGCGCTGCCCATCCTGCTGCCGATGGTGCGGCCGAACCTGCAGCCGGCTCTGCGGCCGATCCTGGTGCTGATGGTGGATCCACCACTGCTGGAGCCTTGTTCTGCTGCTACTGCTGGCGGTGGTGGTGGCGCAGCTGCTGCATCCGCTCGGACAACCTACCCAAAAAGCTAAGTGCTCTTGCCGTTCTGATTTTCTCGTTTTCGTTTTCTAGTGCCGCCGGATCAGAAGTGATGGCCGTAGGCACTGCTGCGTGGGTGGCTGAGAGGTGGATGGGAGGTTGGAGTAAATTGGTGAAAGTGAGGACGTGGCGGCTCAAGGCACTTGGCGGTCGGTCGCTTGCATGGTCTAGTCGGGTGACTTAGAAAGCATTCATTCCCATGCACGCGTCCCTCTCTCTCCTCTTGAACCTCCTCTTTCTCGTCTCAGTCCCCCTCGCATGGCTGCCAAGTGCAATGGGTTCGTTGGTGCCTCGCGCTCCAAACTCCTTGAATCCTTGAAAGCCTACCCGTTGCAGTGGTGCTGTGGGTCTTAGCCGCCTTTCATTTTCCTCATCCTTGCTTTCTGGTTTTTGCTTGTGGCTTGCCGATTGTCGGGGTAAGACCTCTACGAGACACCAACCTTCGCGTTGAATCTGTGCCTCCCTTTTCGCTGCAGGAAACCGTTTTAGCAATGGCGCTCCAGCTGCAGCAGAAACGGCACCTCGGCAGCGGCAGAAGCTCAGCAGCAGCAGCAGCCGTGAGCGTGTGGGATGACGCACGGCAGAGGCGGTCACAGAGCTGTGACCTCCTCGTGAGTGCCCTGCTGACCACTGCTGACCAATGCTGACGACTGCCGGCACCCGCTCCGGTTGGTGGGAGCAGTGGCGCTCGAGGGAGCTCCTGTTGGCGGGAGGTTGCGCTGCTGCTGGTGGCGGTGCTGCTGGCGCCCTGCTGACCACTGCACGGGATCCTGATGGTGGGAGCAGTGGTGCTCGAGGGAGCAGCGGCGCTGGATGGAGATCCTGTTGGTGGGAGGGCGCACAGCTGGGGTGCGGCTGGGGTGCAGAACCCACGCTTTAGCACCGGACGGAGGAACCCTGCTGCTGCTGCGGTGGTGCTGCCACTGCTGGTGGGGCAAAGGCGTTTCAGCTGCAGCAACGGATGCAGCAACTGCACATCAGTGGCAGCAGCGGCACTTCAGCAGCTGTAGAAACCACACCTCGGGACTGCAGAAACGGCATCTCGGCTGCAGCATCAGTTCAGCTTGGCTGCAGCAGCAGCAGCAGACCTGAGCGTGTGGGACGACGCACGGCAGAGGCGGTCACAGTGCTGTCACCGCTGTGAGTGCCCTGCTGACCACTGCACCGGGCCCTGTTGGTGGTTGCTGGCTGCAGCGCTCGAGGGAGCTCCTCTTGGTGGTTGCTGGTCGGTGGTTGCTAAGAGGGCAGCGCTGCTCGAGGGGAGTGGAGGTGCTCTAGCTGGTGGGAGCACGGCAGAGACGGTCACAGTGTTGTTGTGACTGCCTCGTGAGTGCCCTGCTGATCACTGCCTGCACCCACTCCTGTTGGTGGGAGCAGCGGCGCTGGAGGGAGCTCACGTTGGTGGGAGCACAGCAGAGGCGGTCTCAGTGTTGTGACTGCGTCGAGAGTGCGCTGCTCACCACTGCACCCGTTCCCTTGGTCGCGGCTGTGGCGATTGAGGGCGTGGAGGTGCTCCAGCTGGTGGGATCAGCGGTGGGAGTAGCGGCACTCGAGGGACGCTGGCTGCTTCTGCACTACACACGGCTAAGAACCCTCTTACCCTTTCCTATTCCGCTCACTTTGATCATTGAATGTCCACAACCTGTTTCTATTGTCACGCGGATTTCCAAAATAAGGGAGGGAGCAAAATTTGAACGCGTGGCGCGTGGCGATGGTAGCACATGGCACTGGGGCGGCTGGGCTCATGTAGAGTCACAGGGGGATAGAACGCATTCATCCTCATGCCCGCGTCCCTCTCTTTCCTAGTCCCCCTCGCGTGCTAGCTCCATGCCATGGTGCTGTGGGCTACCATCGCCCTTTTTCTTTTCGCAACGTGTTCCCTCGTTATCACTTTCGCGACTTGCAATCATGCTGGCTTCGTATGCTTCATTTTCTCATCGCATGCCCTGGCCTACTAGTTAGAAACTTCCTGCATCCCTTTCCCCAGTGCGTTTTCTCCCCAAGCCCCAGACCCTTGTCCCTGGCCAGAGGGAGGGCGGGCAGCAGATGCAGAGGCCCCAACCAGCAGCACCGTCCCCATCAGTAGCAGCAGCAACGCCAGCAGCAGCAGCAACAGCAGCAGCAGCAGCAGCGCAACAGTCTCTGCAGCAACGCCCCTCCTCCTTCTCCATGCGCCACCTGCCCTTCCCCCTCTCCTCCTCCCATGTGGATCTCGTGCTTGTGCATGGGATGACGCACGGCGTGCACGAGGAATGCCTCCCTCCTGCATGCCCTGCTGACCACTGCACCCGCTCCTGCTGGGGGGATCAGCGGCATGGAGGGAGCAGCGGCGCTGGAGGGAGCAGTGGCGGTGCTTCAGCTGCAGCAGTGGAAGTCAACGCCAGTGAACTCCAGTCAATTTCCGTCAACGCCAGCCAACTGGCAGTCACTTCACAAACCGGCTAAGTGCTCCATGCCCTCCCGTCTCACCTGACCTCTCGCTATTGTCGTTCATTCCTCGTTGTTTCCACGCCACTGTCTGTTGCACCCACAAGGCACAGAAGGTAAGTAGACCTGGTTAACAGCAGGTGCGTCAGAGTAAGTCCCCCCATGCCCCTTCAACGGGGCTTGTGGGTGCTGTCTTTTTGGCCAACGGCGCTCCTCTTTCCCTTCTATTTTGTTGTCTTTTTGCATTTAGTGTTTGCTTTTTATTGCTTTGCTTACTGCGTTTTGTTTTGTCTTCTGGCTATGAACCCTGGAATCTGCCAGTCGTACTCACCTTTGCTTCGAACTTGTGTACCTCTCGATCCCCTGCAGGATCGCTCTGAGGTACAGCTGCCGGAAGGTTCTGATGCTCCAGCAGCAGCAACACCAGCAGCAGAAGCTACTTCGGCAGCAGCAGCAGCACCGGCGGCAGCAGCAGCAACACCGGCAGAAGCAGCAGCAGCAGTGGGATGACGCACAGCAGGGGCAGTCACTGTGTTGTGACCGCCCTGTGGAATGCCCTGCTGACCACTGCTGCACCCGCTGCTGAGGAGGGGGAGCAGAGGGGACGGAAGGAAGGACACACACCATCCCATACCCACATCCTTGTGTGGCTGGGAGTGATGAAGGAAGGCGAGGGGCTGATGGGCCCTTAAGAGAGAAGTGCCGGCCGGCCGAGTGGTGGGGAAGAGCACTTGCCACAGTCGGCACACACCCTTGGGATGCGCGGCTGTGAGGGTGGAAGGAAGGCGAGGGGGTGATGGTGATGGGATTCGGATTGGGGGGTGATTAGAGTGCGGTGCCAGCAGGGCCGGTGGAGGGCGCTGGGGGGAGAAGAGCACTTGCCACAGTCGGTGCACACCCCCTGAGGTGTGCGGCTGGGAGGGTGGAAGGAAGGCGAGCGAGGGGGTGATGGACCTCGAAACAGTATTCGTAGTGCAGTGCGGTGGCGGTTCTGTGCTGTACCAGTGAACCGTGGTTGCGGTTCTCTGCTGTACCAGTTAACCGTGGTTGCGGTTCTGTGCTGTACCAGTGAACCGTGGTTGCGGTTCTGTGCTTTACCATTCAACCGCGGTGGCGGTTCTGTACTGTACTATGGAGCCGCGGTTGCGGTTCTGTGCTGTACCAGTGAGCCGCAACACCGGCCGCAGCATCAACAGCAGGGTTTGGTGGCGATTGGGGGGCCGAGTGGGGGCCCGTGGGTGGAGAAGTGCGCTTGCCACAGTCGGCGCACACCCGTGGGGTGTGCGGCTGGGAGGGTGGAAGGAAGGCGAGCGAGGGGGTGATGGTGATGGTGACGGACCCCAAGGGGTGGGTGATGGTCACGGGCCACGGTTTGGGAGGTCGCAAGGCCAGGTGGGACGCTGCCTAGTCTGACGCCAGGTGGGACGCTGCCTGGTCGTCTGTGTGGGTGTTGAGAGCACCAGTGGTGGCGGTGGCCCGGTGGGGGTGGCCGTGGTGGCAGCACCCGTGGGGGGCCAAGGCTCCAAGACTGGTAAGCACCTCTCCTCCCCTCAGGCGTTGGCAGCACCCGTGGAAGGCCAAGGCTCCAAGACTCCTTTTTCCCTCCTCTTCTCGTCCTCCCTTTCTCGCGTCCTGCTTTCTGTTTCGCTTCTGCTCGTCCCTTCCGCCCCTCCTCCCCTTCTCCCCCCCCCCTTTCCCTTCCCCTCTTCCCTTCCGTCCCTCTTCCCCTCTCCCCCTCCCCCTTCCTTTCCCCTCCCCCCTCTCCCCCCTCGATCCCCTCCCCTTCGTCCAGGAACCCAATGCAGACGGGAAGACGCCAAGGCTCTAAGCCTGGTAAGCACCTAGTCCCTCTCCTTCTCCTTCTCCTCGAATCATTTGCTCGTCCCGCCCTTTGTTATCCTTGCGCTCGTGATTTAATCTTCTCTGCTATTTCTAGTCGTTGATATCCTCTCTACTGTTTCTTCACCTCCCCTCAGGCGCTGGCAGCACCCGTGGGAGGCAGGGACTGCTGCAGCAGGGACGGGCGGGAGGGAGAAGCAAGGAAGAAGCGCGCTTCTCTTCGGGTGAGGACCGAGCTTGCCATTGCCTTGCGTCCTTCCCTTGCACGCGCTCTCCTCGATTCTCAGTGCTGTTCCCCCCAGTCAATCCGTCTCACATATTTTGTCACTTGTTTTTCCCTTCCCCGGTTGTCAGCAGCGCTGGCGGGAGCAGCAGCGAGGAGAGAGGGCCAGAGGGCAGCACTGGCAGGCGCTGTTGTTATGGGCTGCACGTGCGTTGTCCATACCTTGGGATGCTGGCTTGTTCTTGTTTTTTCTTCCTTTTTTTAAAGTTGTTTGAAACTCAGTGGGCAAAATTTCCCTTTGCGAACTCCGAATTTCCACCTTACATGTTCTGAATACCATTTTTGTCTCTCCTGTGCTCCCCTGTGCAGGAGATGCTTCCTCGTTCCCGTGGCAGCAGTGTACGCCGGTGCTAAGAGGTGCCTGGCAGCAAGGATGGGCGGGAGGGAGAAGCAAGAGCGGGCTTCACTTCGGGTAAGGACCCCCTTCCCCATTGCTCTGCCTCCTTCCCCATTGCTCTGCCTCCTTCCCCACTGCTCTGCCTCCTTCCCCATTGCTCTGCCTCCTTCCCCACTGCTCTGCCTCCTTCCCCATTGCTCTGCCTCCTTCCCCATTGCTCTTACACCCACGCTCTTCTTTCTCTTCGCTCCTCATTCCCCGACTTTCCTTTCTCAGTGCCGTTCTCACCTGTCAGTCCCTCGCACCCATTGCGTTCCCATTCCCTTCCTCCCTTTCCAGCCGTCAGCAGCAGTGGCGGGAGCTGCAGCAAGGAGGGGGCAGAACTGGCAGGCGCTGTTGCAATGGGCAGAAGGTGGGTTAGCCGTGCTTTGGAATACTAGCATGCCTTATTTGCGCTTTCTCTTCTATTAAGCTTTCTATCAATGGGCAGGATGCCTCGTTGCTGAAATCCTCGGTTCCGTATCAAGTAATGTCTCCCATTTTTTACCCCCCCTACCTGTTCCGCTGTGCAGGAGGCGCCTCCTTTTCCCGTGGCAACAGTGTGTTCCGGTGCTAAGGCGCAGCAGGAGGAGAGCACTCCTGCACTGGGCAGAAGGTGCGTTAGCTCTACCTTGGAATACTAGCTTGTTATGTTCTCTTCATCAGAGATTTCTATCAATGCACGGAATGACAATTTGCTGAACTCCTCTTTTCTGTCTGCCGCTTTCCCTATCACCTTATGTCTCTCATATCTTCCCCCCCCTCTTGTTTCCCTGTGCAGGATGCTCCTCCCTTTCATTCTCCAGGCGGCAGCAGCAGTGGCGGGAGCTGCAGAAAGGAGAAGGGGCAGCTCTGGCGGGCGTTGCTGCACTAGCAGAAGGTGCCTTGGCTCTGCCTTGGAATTCTAACTTGTTTTATTCTCTTCTTTTGAGATTTCTATCAACGGGCAGGATGCCTCGCTGTTGAGCTTTCTGTTTGTCTATTACGTTCTGTCTCCCATTTCTGTCCCCCCCAGGAGGCGCCTGTGTGCAGGAGGCGCCTTCTTTTCCCGCAGCAGCAGTGTGCCGGTGCTAAGGGGAGCGCGACGCGGCAGGCGGGCGGGAGTGTGGAGGAATGGGGAGCGCAATTCATCCTCCCTCCACCATCCACCATCCACCGTCCTCGATCCACCATCCTCCATCCACTATTTACCATCCTCCATCCACCATTCAGCAGCAGTGGCGGGAGCTGCAGCAAGGAGGGGGCAGCACTGATGGGCGCTGTTGCACTGGGCAGAAGGTGCGTTGACTCGGCCTAGGAATACTAGCTTGTCATGTTCTCGTCGGTTCAGATTTCTATCAATGGGCAGAATGCCGCTCTGCTAATTTATTTCTCCCATTTCTGTCTGCCCCCCACTGTTCCCCTGTGCAGGAAGCGCCTCCGTTAGCAGTGTGTGCCGTTGCTTAAGGGAGCGAAGCTCGGCAGGAGGGAGTGGGGAGCAGAGGAGTAGAGGAGGAGAGGGCAGAGGAGAGCGCAAGCCTGCGGAGGAGGAGGCAGCTGCAACCCATTCTCCCTCCACCATCCTCCCTCCACCATACTCCCCCCACCATCCTCCCTCCACCATCCTCCCCCCACCATCCTCCCTCCACCATCCTCCCTCCACCATCCTCCCTCCACCATCCCCCCCCAACCATCCTCCCTCCACCATCCCCCCCCCACCATCCTCCCTCCACCATCCTCCCTCCACCATCCCCCCTCCACCATCCCCCCTCCACCAGCATGCAGCGGGAGGCAATGTTCTGCAGCAGAGAGGAGCGGATGGGAGGAACGGAGAAGAGCGGCGTTGCAGCAGGAGGGAGCGAGGGAGGGCTGAGTCGCCCGAGCATGCTGGCGAGGTGGAGGGCGGAGCTGGGAAGATGGGGGGGTGAGATGGTGTTGTGGAGTGCGGAGCTGAAGGGTGGTTGACCCGCGAGAAGGAGTGATGGAGGGTGGAGAGAATGGGGAAGCGGGCCAGGGGGGGGCAGCTGAGGCAGAGGAGTGGAGGGATGCTGAAGCAGTAAAGTCAGGTGGAGCAGAGACGGCAGGTGAAGCAGAGACGTCAGGTGGAGCAGAGACGGCAGGTGGAGTAGAGACGGCAGTTGAAGCAGAGACGGCAAGTGAAGCAGAGGCGGCAGGTGAAGCAGAGGGTGCGGCTGAAGCAGATGGGGAAAGCTTATGCAGAGAATTCTCCTGAATCAGAGAGGAAGCCGAAGCAGAGAGGAAGCTGAAGTGGAATATGCAGCTGTATCAAATGGTGCAGAGGTGGGAGCTGAAGTAGAGAAGGAAGCTCAAGCAGAGGGTGCGGCAGAAGCAGAGGGTGCAGCAGAAGCTGAGTGTGCGGCAGAAGCAGAGGGTGCGGCAGAAGCAGAGGGTGCGGCATAAGAAGTTGCTGAAGCTCAAAGGGGGAAGCTGAAGGCAGGGGGGAAGCTGAAGGCAGGGGGGAAGCTGAAGGCAGGGAGGAAGCTGAAGGGGAGGGGAAAGCTGAAGGTGAGGGGGAAGCTGAAGGGGAGGGTATGGCATGTCCCAACCATTGCTGGGGAGTCTAAACCTCCCAACAGCAGTGGCTTGGGAAACTACCTCTTCCCTACTTCCTGTTTTTCAACCACGTGTCTCAACCACTGCCTGGGAGCCCAATCCCCCAACCAGTGGCTTGGGAGACTACCATTTTTATGGCATGTCCCAACCATTTCTGGGGAATTTAAACCATTGGTCCCAACCACTGCTTGGGAGACCTACCTGTTTCCTAGCCCTTCATGGCAACTATATATCCTAACCGCTACCAGGGGAGCCAATCCCCCGTATAGTGGCTTGGGAACTTGCTGCTTCTTACTATTACTTGATTTGGGGTACATGGATATGTTATCCCAGCCATTGGTTTGGGAAACCAGATTTCCCGGCCAATGGTCTGGTAAACTATGGGTAATCTACGGGGGGGACTAGGATCTCTTTGCCGTGGGCACCATCTGTCGCAAAGCCACTCACCCGGGGAAGTGAATCTCCCGGCCAGTGCTCTCGAACATGGTTCCTACCTACTGTTGTGGGGACTCCGGTCCCTTGCCCCTTTTGGGCCATGTTTTTCCCGGGCGGCGGTCCCCCACCTCACAGTGGTGTCCGGGTGTAATGCTAGGGGCAGTGCTAGCGCCCCTGATGGCCAAGAGGGGGCCATATTTAAAATGTACAGTAGCAGTATAGGATATTGTGACTTCGATTGGTTGTGTTGTGTGATGTAGCCACTGTAGATTCTTAATTCGTTGGTTTCTGTTCCGTTGTGGTATCTGTTCTAATGCTTGCCATGGTATCTTCTTATGGTGTGCGAGGATTATTGGAATTATGGTGCCAGAATTATTGGCCTGCAATTTGCTTGTCTCGGCGCTGCGCACGTTCTGCCAGCATATTGATAGGAGTGAGCATGAAGCAGACCATGCCTGCCAACTTTTCAAGACCCGCCATGATTTGCGAACCTTGTGCACCGCAACCACCTGTCAAACATGTCTTGTGTCGAGGGTCGGCTTCGCCGTGCCCCGCACTCCTCCTCGTTCCCCCCTACCGTCGCGCCGCTGCAGACCCTGCACCTGGACGTCTGGGGCCCCGCCCCCGTCCCTGGGCCGCGTCGCGAGCACTACTTCCTTGTGCTTGTCGACGACTTCACTCGTTACACCACAGTATTTCCCCTGGAGCGCAAGGCCGACGTGCCTGGCGCCCTCATCCCCTGGCTTGTCTCTGCGCGTGTCCACCGCGGTCTCCCTGTCTTGCGTCTTCACTCAGACCGTGGTGGCGAGTTTGCCTCAGGTGTCCTTGGTCGCTTTTGTCGTGCGGAGGGCATCACCCAGACGTTCACCCTACCGGACTCCCCACAGCAGAATGGGGTCGCTGAGCGACGCATCGGCTTGGTCATGGAGGTCGCTCGCACCTCCATGGTCCATGCCGGTGCACCCCATTTTCTGTGGCCGTTCGCTGTGCGCTACGCTTCTCACCAGCTTAACCTGTGGCCGCACCCTCAGCAGCCGCAGGTTTCGCCGACCCGTCTGTGGACTGGGTCTCCTGGTGACGCGTCTGCGTTCCACGTCTGGGGCTGCCTTGCTCACGTCCGTGCCTCCGGCACGGACAAGCTCACTGCCCGCACCCTTCCCTGCGTCTTCCTCGGTTTTCCCCTTGACGCGTCCGACTGGCACTTTTACCACCCGCCGTCTCACCGCTTCTTTCACTCTCGTGACGTCACCTTTGACGAGTCCGTCTCCTACTACCGCCGCTTCCCCCACCGTTGTCCCCCGGTTACCCCCCCCTGTTCCTGGTAACCCCTTCCCCGGTAGTCCCTGTCAACTTATACATATTATCTATGTAGAAGTTATAGGCTAGACTGAGGTATGCTTCTAGTGAGTACAACCAACTAGTATTTGTTCTAGGTTTCCACCTCTAGTAATCATTCGTTTCTACGTTAACATGGTATCACGCTTAGGTTAGGATCCCCCCGCCTACCGCTTCCGCCCGTCGCGCCTCCTAGGCCCCGTCGCGCCCCCTAGGCCCCGTCGCGCCCCCCCTGGGCCCCGTCGCGCTCGTTAGGCCCCGTCGCGCCCCCCCTGGGCCCCGTCGTGCCCGCTGGGCCCCGTCGCGCCTCCTAGGCCCCGTCGCGCTCCCCCTGGGCCCCGTCGCGCCCACTGGGTCCCGTCGCGACCCCTAGGCCCTAACGCGCCCCCGCTGGGCCCCGTTGCGCCTCCTAGGCCCCGTCGCGCCCCCCATGGGCCCCGTCGAGCCCGCTGAGCCCCGTCGTGCCTCCTAGGCATCGTCGCGCCTCCTAAGCCCCGTCGCGTCCCCCCCCTCTGGGCCCCGTCGCGCCCGTTCGGCCCCGTCGCGCCCCTCCTAGGCCCCGTCGCGCCCGCTGGGCCCCTTCGCGCTTCCTAGGCCCCGTCGCGCCTGCTAGGCCCCGTCGCGCCCCCCTGGGCCCCGTCGCGCCCGTTAGGCCCCGTCGCGGCCCCCCTGGGCCCCGTCGTGCCCGCTGGTCCCCGTCGCGCCTCCTCGGCCCCGTCGCGCCCCCCCTGGGCCCCGTCGTGCCCGCTGGGCCCCGTCGCGCCCCTTAGGCCCCGTCGCGCCCGCTGGCCCCTGTCGCGCCTGCTGTTAGCGCTCGCCCGCCTGGCCTCCTCCTAGTGCCGCTCGGCCTCCTCCTAGTGCCGCCCGGCCTCCTCCTAGTGCCGCCCGGCCTCCTCCTAGTGCCGCCCGGCCCCTTCCTAGCGCCGCCCGGCCTCTCCTCAGCGCTGCCCGGCCCCTCCTCGTGCCCGACCGGCCCCAGCAGCACCAGCCTGGCCCCTCCCAGCACCAGCCCGGCCCTAGAGCACCTGCCCGCCTCCCCTGCTCGGCCTGCCGTGTCCTCTCGGGCCCTGTGTCTTCTGCTTGCCTGCGCTGGGACGCCTAGCTGCTGCCCTACTGGAGAGTGCTGCCGCCGTGTCCCCGCGCCGCTGTGCTCCTGTGCCGCTGAGGAGCTGTGCTGCTGTGCCGCTGTGTCGCTGAGGAGCTGTGCCGCTGACCCTGCACGATGGCTGACTTTGTGCTCCGCCTGGACGCTGAGGGCCACGCGGTTGACTTCGCCGCCTGGCTCTCCGATCTTCGCCGCCAGCTTACAGGTCAGCGCCAGGATGGCCACTCTCTGGTTGTCCATGCTGATGGCTTGCTCCCCCGTCCCCCTGCACCTACTCCCCTCCCTGCTGACCCCTCCTCTGATGACCGTGAGGCTTTCTCTACTGCTGCGCTAGCCTGTGCGGTCTGGGACTCACGCGATGCAGTAGCTCAGGTTGCTATTAGTCACGCCCTCCCTGTGTCTGAGCGCTCGCGTTTTGCTACTGTTGAAACGGCCAAAGCTTATTTAGACGCCGTTATTGCTCGCTATTCCACCCCTGCCTCCGCTTCTGCTGGCCGCTTGCTCTTTCCGATGCTGTTCCCAGACCTGGCTGCCTTCCCTACTGTCGCAGATTTTGCCACTCATTTGCGTGCCCTAGAGACTCGCTATCGCACTGCCAGCACTGCTGCCCAGCTCACTGCGCTCCCCCCTCCTTTCTGCATGACGCTCTATTTTATCGCTATGCGCCTGCCAGACCGCCTCGCTAGTGCTCGCGACCACTTTCTTAGCCAGCACCCGGGTGACCTCACCCTGACCGCCTTTGTCGACACCCTCACTGAGATCGAGACTCGCCAGCGCACTATCGCTCAGTCGAGCGGTGCGCCGGCAGTCTCTATCTTTCACGGTTGTGCCCCATCCCCGTGCACGTTCACTGACGTTTCGGCTGCGGTCGCCACGGCGACCCCTCTTACCGAGACGGCTGCTGCTGTCCACCCGCAGCAGCACTCGCGTCGCGGTGGCCGTGGCCGCCAGGGAGGTAGGGATGGTGACGCAGGTGGTAGTGGTCGTGGTGGTGGTGACGGTAGTCCGCCTGAGGGGACTACCACCGGTGGGCAGGAGCAGCAGTCCCAGCAGCAGCAGGACCAGCCCCAGCCGCAGCCGCCGTCCCAGCAGCACCCGCCGCAGCCGTGGGCTCGTCTCCCGCCTGGTTGGCCCGGCACCTCCGGAGGCGGTGGCCGTGGTGGCGGCCCGCGCAGCTTGGCGTCTACCAGCGGCTCCAGTGCTGTGACCTGCCAGTACCAGCTTCAGACCGGGCCTCTCCGCGGCACTCTGTGCCACCGCCCGCACCCGACCGCCCACTGTTTCCGCCGCCTCGACGATCTTTTTCGTCGTCGCTTTGGCCCGGCCCCGGACCTCCCTGACTGGCACAGCCTGCTCCGCCAGGGCGTGCCGATCTTTGAGTTAGACATGGATCAGATAGGTGCTGCTTTGCATGCTTTGTATGCTGACGCTTCTAGTGTTGATGGATCTTACTACCATGTGTACTCTAGTTTAGGTGTTTCACCCTTGTGTAGCTTAGCTTCCCCTGCTGCGACAGGCGTAGGACTGCCTAGGTTGCCTAGTCTAGTCGCTGCACCGGCTCCGTCCGCGGCCTCCGCCACTGCGTCGCTGTCCTTCACTCTCGACTCTGGTGCTTCTGCCTGCTTCTTCCGCGACCGTTCCACGCTCACGCCGCTTGCTGCACCTGCTGTTGTCTCTCTCGCTGACCCCTCTGCGGGTCCGGTCGTCGCGCGCAGTTCTACGTCCCTTCCCTGTCCGGCAGTTCCCTCGGGCTCCCTTACTGGCCTCCACGTTCCCTCGTTCTCCAGGAACCTGGTTGGTGTCGGCTGTCTCCAGGACCTCGGCGTCACCACCACGTTCCCCGGGCACGAGCGGTTCGCTGTCTGTTCTGAGGCTGTCTCAGGTTCCCCCCTTGCGACGTTCCCCCGGGACCCGGTGTCCGGTCTGTTTACCCTACACACCGCTTCCCCCCCGGTTGGTGCGTCCTCCCAGGTCGCTGCAGCTTGCTCGTGTCGGTCCCTCACTCACCCCTCCCTTCTCTGGCACCACCGCTTAGGTCACCCTGCTCTCCCGCGTCTGCGTCACATGTCCCAGCACGGTCTTGTCTTAGGTCTCCCCGCGTCGCTCCCTGCCCTTCCTCCCTCGACTGCGCCACCGTGCACGCCTTGCGTCGAGGGTCGGCTCCGCCGTGCTCCTCACTCCTCCTCGCTGCGTCCTGCTACTGCCCCCCTTCAGACCCTGCACTTGGACGTTTGGGGCCCTGCCCCCGTCCCCGGACCGCGCGGTGAGCGCTACTTCCTTGTGCTCGTTGACGACTACACGCGCTACACCACGGTGTTTCCCCTGGAGCGGAAGGCCGACGTGCCCGACGTTCTTCTCCCGTGGGTTGTAGCTGCGCGTCTCCACCGCGGTCTCCCCGTGTTGTGTCTCCACTCCGACCGTGGCGGCGAGTTCGCCTCTGGTCGGCTTGGACAGTTCTGTCGTGCGGAGGGCATCACCCAGTCGTACACGTTGCCGGACTCGCCACAGCAGAATGGGGTTGCTGAGCGCCGCATCGGCTTGGTCATGGAGGTCGCCCGTACATCCATGATCCATGCCGATGCCCCCCATTTTCTGTGGCCGTTCGCTGTTCGCTACGCGGCTCACCAGCTTAACCTGTGGCCACGCTCCCAGCGGCCGCAGGTTTCGCCGACCCTCCTTTGGACCGGGTCCCCCGGTGACGCGTCTGCGTTCCACGTATGGGGCTGCCTTGCTCACGTTCGTGCCTCTGGCACGGACAAGCTCACTGCCCGCACTGTCCCCTGTGTCTTCCTCGGTTTCCCCCTGGACTCGTCTGACTGGCTTTTCTACCACCCGCCGTCTCACCGCTTCCTCCACTCTCGTGACGTCACCTTTGACGAGTCCGTCTCCTTCTACCGCCGCTTCCCTCACCGAGGTCTCCCAG